GCCACCACTGCTGTGCTCACCAACCATGAGCCAGGCTTCTGTCTGACCAGCACTCCTCCTGTGGGAGCGCACTGACTACCAGGGGGCACTCCTGCATCGAGCCTCTTCTCCCTGGTGGTCAGTGCATGTCATAGCGACCAGTTGTTCTGCAGTTTGGTTGATTTGCATATTAGTCTTTTATTATATAAGATAAATTCAGCCGAAACCGGTTTGGCTCAGTGGATAGAGCGTCGGCCTGCGGACTGAAAGGTCCCAGGTTCGATTCCGGTGAAGGGCATGTACCTGGGTTGCGGGCACATCCCCAGTGGGAGATGTGCAGGAGGCAGCTGATCGATGTTTCTCTCTCATCGATGTTTCTGACTCTCTATCTCTCTCCCTTCCTCTCTGTAAAAAATCAATAAAATATATTTTTTAAAAAAAGATAAATTCACTTCATTGTAATAGCATTGTTGTATCTCCTATACACTCTGTCTTTTATGGTTCTCAAATTCATCTCATGATAATTTTTTTTCTTTATCCAGTTCCTTTATTTGGGCGGAGGGCACCCACTTGCAAACTCAGGGCTAAAAAAGGATGGCACAGTTTCTCCCAGCCTAGCCCTGCGTCAATGTCCATGGACGGCGGCTCTGCCCTGCACCTGCAGGCCATGTCAGGTAGACGTGTCCATCTCAGGGACCTCAGTGGATACTTCAGTGGGCACTGCCAGCCGCTGGGGGGGCACATAGGAGCCCATACCCGCTGCCCTCTCAGCCTCTTCCTGAGTGTAGGGCTCCACGCTCAGCTGCTTTAGCCTTTTCTTGTGGTCTTTGGATCGGAGGTGGGTCTTCAGGTTGGCGGAATCGATGAAGTACCTCGAGCAGTCCAGGCAGCGATGCAGGTCGCCACCCGGCAGGTCCGGGTCTGGCTGGGCACCCGCATCCCGGCCGGGGCCGTGGGGAGAACCTGGGGCCGCAGCTCGCGGTGGATCTCATCCAGGTCCAGCCGCCCCTGCTTCGCCTTCATCTGGCGGGCCAGGGAGTGCGCCCGGTGCGCGCCGTCCCGCAGGAGCGACCCATGGCCGGCAGCAGCAGAGCGCGAGGGCCGGCGCCGAGCATCTCATGATAATTTAAACTTAATGATTTCACCCAATATATTGAAGTGTTTCCTAGAACCATTTCCCAATAGAAATACATTTTAAAAGAGTTTGTTTTACAGATAGGTAAAGTAGATACTTTTGTGAGAAAAATTTCCAAAGAAAATTTAGACCCATGTAAAGAAAATCATCAAACATTTCAGGATGGTGACTAAAATATTAAACCAAGCATGGGTACATCTCAACTCAGGACACTGTAGGTATGTTCTAGTTGTATAGATCTATGAATCTTGTCCTGTGCATAAGGCTATAGTTTATTTTCTTCTCAAGTTCTAATGAACGTTCAGTTGCTTATGTTCTGCTCTATATTTTTTCTAAATGGTTTAAATTTACCAAATAACTTCTGTATCGTCACCAAGATGCACTCATTCATTGGTCTTGCCATCATCATGCAGATTCCTATCCTTAACAGCAGCTTGTGCTTATGTCATTAGTGTATTAGTTTCATGAGATACATTAGGCTTCAATAATCCCTCATATAGGGAAACTTTAATGAAAACTTCTAAGTGTGGCTGAATCTCTGCTTTCCCATATCCTATAGAGCAGGAAACAGAACTACTGACAAACCCTGGAGCACAGTCACAGCTTC